CCAGCATCATCATTAGCTTCATCAGCATCATCAGCATCATCAGCATCATCACAATAGTCCTCATCAGCATCTTCATCAGCATCATTACCATCATCAGCAGCATCATCAGCATCATCATCATCGCCAGAATCATGATAGTAATAGTCATCATCAACATCATCACTAGCAGCATGAGCATTATTAGCATCATCATCATCATTATCATCATCATCATCAGCATCATCATCATCATCATCATCATCATCATCATCATCATCATCATCATCATCATCATAATCATATGCAACATCATCATTATCATCGTCATCGACGTCGACATCGTCATCGCCATCCTCCTCATTATCATCAGCATCATCAGCATCATCAGCATCAGCATCATCTTCATCATCATAACCATCCCCATCATCGTCAACATCAGCATCATCGTCATCAGCACCACCACCATCATCATCAGCATCAGCACAAGCATCGACATAATCGGCATCGTCATCGCCGCCACCGTAGACGTTATCACCAGCATCATCAGCATCATCAGCAGCTGCACCACTCATCATCAGCATCATCATCGTCATCATCATCAGCAGCAGCAGCACCATCATCATCATCAACATCATCATCAGCGACATCGTCGTCATGATCGGCATCATCATCATCAGGATCATCATCATCATCATCATCATCATCATCATCATCATCATCATCATCATCATCATCACCAACACAATCACCAGCATCATCACCATCATCATCAGCAGCATCATCATACTGGCCATCGTCATCGTCATCATCACCACCACTACCAACATCATCAGAATCATGTTCATCATCATCATCAGCAGCAGCAGCAGCAACATCATTACCATCTTCGTCATCACCCGGAGCATCATCAGTGTCATACTCATGTTCGTAATCTCCGTCGTCGCCATCACAAGCATCCTAATCAGTATCGTGTTGCCTGTCAACACCATCAGCAGCAGCAGCCTCCCCTGGGGGAGGGGGAGGGGAGGCGGAGGCGGAAGGGATGAGAGGGGGGATGGAAGGGGACGCGAGGGGGACAAAGGGAGAGCAACAGGGACACGGACGGAAACGGAAACAGACGGGACGAAGCCATTGAAGAGGGCCGGAAAGGACACAAGGGATGAGACACGAGCTCCGACGTGTGAGTACCCGAGAGGGCTCGCGCAAAGCTCCACAGGAGGCTCCAGAGAGTCTGGCGCGCACGTGGTAAATTTACGATACAGCGGATCTCCCCCATGCGCCTCGAGTCAGACGACGACGGCTGCTTTGACGACGGCGAGGAAGAGTGCGAGAAGGACCATCCGTTGATTGCACTTGACGACTGCTGCACAGGAGACGAGGGCGCCACGCCATCCCCGGCCCTCCACGGCCCAGAACAACCCCGGAAGCGCCTCTTCCTCCCCATGCTCCAGCTACTCTCTACGCCAACCGACTTGAAGTCTCCGCCCTCAGGGGGGCAAAAGGCATCCATGTCTAACGACGTTCCGCGAGATCCTTGGTGGCGCTTCCCCCAAACAGGCACACACGGATGCACCCCGCGTAGACACACCTAGATCGCTGAGCGTACTTCCAAAATGCCTTGAGCGTACTTCCAAGGGGCAGGGCCAGGGGCCTGCTGGGCCAGGGCGAGGGGCCTAGCAGGGGCTCCCCGCGAGCACAGGGGCTCCACGCGAGACGGCCGACGGTCCCTCTCGCTCCGCCTTGAGCGCGCGGGGCTCTCCTCCGCCTAAGCGTCCTCCTCCTCATCCTCCTCCTACTACTCCTACTCCAACTTCTACTCCTCCTCCTCCTCCTCCTCCTTCCCTCCTCCTCCTCCTCCTCCTCCCTCTCCTCCTCCTCTCCTGCGCCCTCCTCCTCCTCCTCCTCCTCCTCCTCCTCCTCCTCCTCCTCCTCCTCCTCCTCCTCCTCCTCCTCCTCCTCCTCCTCCTCCTCCTCCTCCTCCCACTACTACGCCTCCTCTCCCTCCAAACCTCGCCTTCTCCCCATCCTGTCCGCTCGCCAATATGTGTGCGCGCACGCCTCGGGGGAGAACGAGCCCCCCCTCCCTTGTATTGTCGACAGACGCCCCCCCAAACGAGACCATCCGACCCCAGGCCTCCCCAAAAGTCGCCCGCGCTTGCTGAACTGGCCTGAACGGCCTGAGCGGCAAGGAGGGGCTCGCGAATCAGGCGGGCAGAATTCATCGCACCGCCAGGAAACGACCACATCCACGATTTCAGGAGTCCTGAGCTGGGTCCCTGGTGAGCGTTGGAAACGCACATGTTCCCGCCAGCAGGAGAGCGGGCAGGTATCCACTTCCACCACTCCCCGAGGTCACGGGGGACGGCTCCGAGGCAGTGGATACGGATGTACTCTAGCGAAGGTGAATGGCCAGCAGCCCAGGAGAGAAAGAGAACAACAAAAAGAACGTCCTCACGGCTCACCTTGCCCCAGGACATGGAGGCGAACTTCAGCCCACGCTCTGGCTTCACCGAGGCAATCACTTGGCGGCGGGCCGCTTTGATGTCCCACTTCCTCCCAGGAGCGATTATGAGATATGATAGACAGAACTGTTTCCCTGGCTGCACACAGTGGAGATGGTTAATAAAGCTACCATCGCGGTGCCTTATCAAAATCAGATGTGTATGTGCATGTGTGCCCGTACGTGTATAAATAATGTATGCAGATGTGTATACCAATGCGCATTACTGCACACGCGCGTGCTATAGACGTAGTTAACAAACACGCATATACACGTATGTACCTGCATGTGGTCATGCATACAGAATTAAATGCATACATACATACATACATACCTGCCTACATACATACATACATGCATGCATGCATGCATGCATACATACATACATACATACATACATACATGCATACATACATACATACATACATACATACATACATACATACATACATACATACCAACATACATACATACATACATACATACATGCATGCATACATACATACATACATATTTACTTACTTACTTACTTACTTACTTACTTACTTACTTATTTACTTACGTACTTACTTACTTACGTACAAACGTACGTGCGTACGTACGTGTATGTATACATGCAGGCAGGCAGGCAGGCAGGCAGACAGAGAAAGAGACATACAGACAGGCAGACGGGCTGACAGACAGACAGACAGACAGACAGACAGACAGACAGACAGACAGACATGCGTGCAGATGAACCCACAAACGTACATGCATACGTGCGTGCGTGCATGCCTCCTCCTCCTCCTTCTCCTTATTATCCTAGTCCTCCTCGTCCCCCTCCTCCTCGTCCTACTCCTGGTCCTTCTCCTCCTCCTCCTCCTCCACCTTCTCGTCCTCCTCCTCGTCCTCCTCCTACTCATCTTCCTACTCCTCCTCCTCCTCCTCAACCTCCTCCACCTCCTCCTCCTCACTTTCGTCCTCCTCCTCCTCCTCCTCCTCCTCCTCCTCCTCCTCGTTCCTCCTCCTCATCCTCCTCCTCCTACTACTACTCCTACTCCTCTACTCTCTCTCCTCCTCCTCCTCCTCCCCTCTCCTCCTCCTCCTCCTCCTCCTCCTCGTCCTCCTCCTCCTCCTCGTCCTCCTCCTCCTTCTCCATTCCTTGCCTTAGAAATAATTTCTCCCTGTCGCACCCCGAGGCCAGTTTTTAGAGCGGGCCGGGCGTTTCGCGTGAGACGTCCTCACCACTTATGACTCTGGAGCTCAAACTTTACAACAGCTTCATAGATGGAGGGCGGGTGGTTTTCAAAATGTGGCTCTCGCCTTGGCGCCGCGTACACTCGTTGTAAAATTTGTCGGTGCTTCACGGATTGAGGGCGAGTCGTTTTCAAAATGTGGCCCTCGCCTTAGCGCCGCGCACGCTCGTCTTAAAAAACAATGATAGTTTCACGGACTGAGGGCGGTTCCTTGTCAAAATGAGGTTCTCGCGTTAGCGCCGCGCACACTCTTCTTAAACATTTGCAAGAGCTTCACGGATTGAGGGCGGCTAGTTTTCAAAATGTGGCTCTCGCCTTAGCGCCGCGCACACTGGTCTTAAACATATGCAAGAGTTTCACGGACTGGGGGCGGTTCCTTTTCAAAATGTGGTTCTCGCCTTAGCGCCGCGACATTCGTCGTAAAGAATGACAAGCGTTTCACAGATCCCAATGGTTAACGTACCAGGCATTGCGTTTTGGAAGGATTCTGGCTTATGGGGGCGCGAAAGGTATGTTGAGCCGCGACTTTCAAGTCATGGCGTTCTGGCACGATCCAGGATCGTCAAGACGCAACAGTCAGGTTGATCCGTGGCGTTGGAATCCCGAGAACAATATTTTTGCCTGTTTCAGGGTCGTCAACCACTTGTCTTCCAACGAGGCAATTCCCTCAGCAAAAATGAACCGTTGTAGGGACCCATGAAGAGGGAGCTTGGAGGAAGGGTTTATTCAAACATCGTTGAGGCCTGTTGGATTTACACTTGTCCTCCGCCTCGTCCCTTCCCTACTCCTCCTCCTCCCCCTCCTCCTTCTCCTCCTCCTCCTTCTCCTCCTCCTCCTCCGCCTCGTCCTCGTCCTCGTCCTCGTCCTCGTCCGCCTCCTCCTCCTCCCCCTCCTCCTCCTCCTCCTCCTCCTCCTCCTCCTCCTCCTCCTCCGTCCCCTCTTCCTTATTGTTTTCCGCCTCCTTTTCCTCCTCCTCCTCCTCCTCCTCCTCCTCATCCTCCGAATTATTATCATCAGAATCACCATCAGCATCAACATCCTCGACATCATCATCATCATCATCATCATCATCATCATCATCATCATCATCATCATCATCATCATCATCATCATCATCATCATCATCACCATCGCCATCATCATCATCATCAGCATCAGCAGCATCAGCATCATCATCATCATCATCATCATCATCATCATCATCATCATCATCATCATCATCATCATCATCATCATCATCATCATCATCATCATCATCATCATCATCATCATTCCTGACGGCACTGCTGGTTTGTGTGCATCCGCAAAGTATGCGTGCATGCTTCCGCCGCGAGGCAGTCGCCTCAAGGACGTTGCCCGGCGGAAAGGCCGGCGGTCAAGCCTGGACTCACAGTCGTCTCCGTAGGGCGCTGCTTGGCGACAGTGCCAGCTTACGTGCATCCGCAGATTCTGCGCGCTTGTCCCCGTCGCGAGGCAAATGCCTCATGGACGTTGCCCGTCGGCAAGGCCGGCGGCCCTGCACATTCACGCCGAACCGCGACCAAGGTTCGTCTCCTGTTGGGCGCTGTCTGGCGGCAGTGCTGGCCATCGCGCATCCACAGATTCTGCGATTTGGCCCTCGTCGCGAGGCAAATGGCTCAAGGGCACAGGCCGTCGGTAAGGCCAGCCGTCCTGTGCACTCACATATCCCTGATTTGGGCACTTCGTTTGGTTGGAGATGCCTTGGGTCCCTCTTGGGGCCTTCTTGGGGGTCCTGAGGAGCCTCGTGCAACCCGTTGGGGGCCGTCTTGGGCCCCGAGCGGGTTCCAAGGGGGCCCCAAAAACTATTAGGATGGCCATGGTCATCCGAATCTCCATATACATATATATATATATATATATATATATATATATATATATATATATTCGGGGCGCCGTTGGGGGCCTCTTGGGGTCCCTGGGGGGACCTCTGGGAGCTCGCTCGGGGCCTGTCTTGGGCCCCGAGCGGGCTCCAAGAGGCCCCCGTAAAGATACTCAGATGGCCTCTTGAGAGCCTCTTGGGGCCCCTGAGTCGTCCACGCGGGGCGGCCCCGCGGCGATCACAGCGGCCCCCGCGGCCCCGCAGGGCTGCCCTGCTGCGCCCCCAGCTCCATCAACACCGCTGCCAGCGCCCACCGAAGCACGCACGGCGGCCCGCGAGGCCTCGGGAAGCCCCGCAGGTGGCCTCGGCGGCAGCTGCATGGACGAAATCGTCCATGCAGGGCGGCCCCGCGGCGATCTCGGCGGCCCCCGCGCGTTGAGGCGCTGCGAAAAGAACCAAAGAACGCATTTCCACCATTTGGGAATTTCTCGCGGCCAAGAAGCAGGGGGCTTAAAATCTGAAGCCCGCGCGAATTCGTCGGGAGCCGAGCGAAAATGCAAAGGGCGTCGCAAAAACGCCCCCGCGCCGACATTGCCGAACGCGCCCGGAGCACGCGTTTCAGACAACTCCCGTCGCGCATAGCAGTTTCTCTCCCAGAAAGCGCCGCGCGCGACTTTGGTCGTCCTGCGCGGCAAAGAGCGCGCCCCAAGAACGCGCAGCGGCCGATGGGTTGAGCCTGACTGGCAACGGCAGAAGGCATGGCCGATGGCTCCAGAGAAAAGGACGATGGGATGGAAGCCGGGCAAACTCCGAAGGCCCGCCCGTCGGGCCAGGGAAAACAAGGATGAGCCTGCGCGCTCGCAACGAGCTGGCTACATTCGCAAATCTGTCGTAAGGTCGCATTTGGCATCTGAACACTTTCCCAGTACTGCCTTCCCAGAGCATCTGATGCGTCGGCTGGCTTGTCCTAGTCTGGGAAATCGCGCGACTGCGCACCCAATGCTCGCGGTTGCATTCGCGCGGCGTGAAATCTCGCGCGGCAGTTTCGCGATTACGCGCGACCCTGGCGTCGCCGCTTTGGCTCAGGACATCCTTCCACTTTGCAGCAAATCGTCGGGAATGGGATTTTGCGCGGCGCTTGCCGCTCTTTGCGCGGACATGTGTGGTTGTATGTTAGCTTGGTGTGGTAAGTGGTTTTGTTTGGTATGTGTTTGGTTGTTTGGTTATGGTTTGGTTAGTTTGTCCATTTGGTTGGTTATGCTTGTTATGTGTTTGCTATGTGTTGTTCATGATTTGGTTATTTCCTGTTGTGATCAATCGTGCGTTGCTTGTCTGTTTCGAGGACATGATTTGCGTTCTGCTCATGGTGCCGACGTTCACTTACCGCGCATTCAACCCTCACTTCCATGCTGACGCGCTGCATGCTCCCCGTCCTCGCCGCTTCTGCTCCTCCTCATCTCCCCGCATTCCCTCCGCTCATCGCTGTTGCTGCTGCTGCTGCTGCTGCAACCTTCATCATCCCTCGCATTCCATTCCGTGCCGAGCGCCAGCGGCTACAAAAATCGTTCGGTTTGCGCGACGGTCGACAGTTTCGCGCGACGTCGGGCGGCGCGAAGAATTCTCGGACCAGCGCGCGGAATTCCCCAAAAGGCACACAAGCGCCCGCCGGCGCCTCAACACCCCCGCGGCCCTGCGGGCCGCGCAGCGACCCAGGGGCCCCAGCGGCGGCCCCGAGGTCCGCGGCAAACTATGCACAGCCGCAGCAGCGCCAGGCCCCTGCTTGGTGGCAGCCGCCCGCGAAGCCCAGCGCGCCGACCAGCACCGCGCTCGAGCCCAGCAGGCGCGGAGCCATCCGTTGGCCCACCCGCGGAAGCCCACGCCGCCAGCGCGCTCGACGGCGGCAGAGGGCGAACCAGGGACGCGCCCCCGGACGCCACGCCTTCGTG